TCACCTTTTACACAACTTTTACATTGATGCTGTTGCTTCTCTTGGTAGTTTAGTGTTGTCACAGTTTGTCTCCATGATGCTTCACTTGTCACTTTGTCACTTTCTCTTGTCTGTTACTTGTTTGTTAGTGCACTTTATGCTTAATATTTTTCTTTTTTACTTTTGAATATTTAAATTTTTTTAACTTTATTCCCTTGTTTTATACTAACCCATAGCCTTAGCCTTATTCTACTAACCCATTGCATTAGCATTTCATTCCATTTTATTTTATTACTTGTGCACTGTTGTCTTGTCTGTCTACTGTCGCGCACTACCCGCCAAGACAAATTCCTTGTATGTTTGACATATTTTGGCTAATAAATGTTTCCTGATTCCTGATTTAGCTAATGGAACAACAACCGACTAATTAACTGGTACAGCACATTTCTTCCTTGAATTTTTTTTAGTTCAATCGGATCATGGAAGATTACTTTCGTTAAGCCTCTAGACTGGACTGCATGATTCATATCTCTTCTCTTTGTTCCAGCGCTACAGTGTGAACTCTTCTGAAGTCTTCAGGCTAATCTGTCTGCCGAGCACGATGACTTTAAGACACTCCAGCAGTTTGGGTTTACAATAGCCGTCATGTCTGAATGGGAGGCATTTACACTGCAGGCGAGCTGCTCCTGCAGGCCACTCCAGGACGGCAATAAGTCTCTATTTGTGGGAAACGGGACCCCTTTCCCTCCTAATCTGATAGCTGTGACCTTCTGACCTCCACTCTTGTTATCCAACCCCCCCCCACCTCTCATTCTCCACACATTCAACGGTTGGAGATCCTTGAGATGTGAGAGTATTGGTGGTCCTTCAGTCGAAAAACTGACTGGCACAAATGCGGTTTGTCCTCCATTCTCAGGATCAGTGGCTGTCTCACCATCTAGTGCCAGTAGGCCTGCGGACTAGCAGGGCTCACCTTTACAAGATAGAAAGTCAAGTTTTACATTCTGGCACACACCGTATATAACACTAATTCCCACAAGACTGGAGAAAGAAAGAGGGGATAAGTTAAGTGAAACAATACATTTGCAAGATTCAGATAATTAAATTCAGTTTCGCTGTAGAGCCATTGATTAGTGCCTCTACTATACAGGTAGTCTGTCGCTGCGGGCTACTGATGAAGATGAGAGAAGTTGTCTTGCTGCTAGCAGGAGAATACGTTTGTGCACGTAGAGGTAATGGATGCAAATGTAGAAGACCGTCCTGATGACGGCATTGCAGGCATTTCCTCATGCCTTTTTATTCCTGCAGTCAACTCAAATTGAAATGTGTCAACACTGCTGCTCAGCTGTGACTTGCTGTATGGAGTGTGTGTGTGTGTGTGTGTGCGTGTGTGTGTGTGTGTGTGTGCGTGTGTTTCAGCCATATGTTCACAATGGTTTGTGTCTCACTGTTTATACTGCTGCTCAGCTGTGACATGCTGTGTGACTGCAGTCCAAGTTATTTTGTGTGTGTAGGTGTGTGTGTGTGTGTGTGTGTGTGTGTGTGCACATGTTTTTCAACCATATGTGGGCCGGTCGAGGGGTCTCTGTGGACCTGCTGATTCGTCTGTGTCATTTAAACGCCAGAGCCGAGTGCCTCGGGGGTTAATGCTTGTTTAATGGCGACTACACCGTGACTCACAGCGAGAGGTCGCTGACCCCCACTCCATTGAATAACATAAGTGAAGGTGCAGGGAGGGCCCCCTAAAGTCTGTGTAGATGATCTAAGGGCCACAGAGAAAAGAGCCCTCTTTTTTTTGTATTGTCAACCTCTGTTGTAAAGTACGCGTAGTTTTGTGCTCTTCTTTGGCCCGTAAAGCCTTTTGGATGAAGGTGAAAGTGCATATTTTGGAATTTTCCAGAAACTAAGTGTCAGTTCAAGTGAAAAGTAAAATTGAGTTAATACAGTGGTTTTATTGGGATCTGTATGTGTAACATTTACTTGCTCTCCTTCCAGCGGTCACATGCCCTCTTATTTTTTTCATAAGCTATATTTAGCTCTGATGATATCAACATTTGTTATACGGAATTTGAGTGACGGTTTGGCACAATAATACTGCTGTGCAGTGACAGATAATTGGACCCCTTTGGCCTCTTGTGGATTTAGTTCAGCTGGTTTTGTCTGGGTTGTAATTAGTCGATCATTCATCCTCCCATTGATAGTCTCAGTCCTCAAACTCATTCCTGGTCTTGGGTTTCAAGCTTTTGTCTGTGCATTGTGAGGACAGGCACTAGGGGGGCCTGGAATTTCAGTTCCTCCCCTACTCAAACATCTCAAGATTTCACAGGCTGCAGGCATCACACACGTTTACGAGAAATATCATTTGGCGTTATCTAAATGTACGATAAAGCCTTTTCTCTAATGAGGAGAGATGTACAGTATGCAGAGTAATAGACCAACACAATAGAGGTGAATGGAATTTAATACGTGGTGAAAAAAGCACTTAGACGTTCATTCATTTTTTGTAATTTGCGTGAACTGACCCTTTAAATGAGAGATCCCTGCTGAGATTACGGTCCTCTGTTTGCAGGCTGCGACCTGCATGTGAGTTCAAAGGGGAAGTTCTGAAACCCGTTAAAACGGATATGTTGGTCACATTTTTGGAATAATTTCTGTCAATTAAAAACCCATATTAAAGGGACTTTTGTCTGACTTTGAGTCAGGTTTCCCCAAAGAATGATCAACAACATTGCAACATTTTTATAACCTTTCTTACTATAATTCTTTGTTCCTTTACAAATGCTGCTCCTGACACCGGACACAGTTTTGTCAAATGACTCTGTATTTGCAATAAAGGTTGAAAGAAGAGACTTTTGACAGAGCTAAAGGTATGTTATGATATCTGCAGATTACTGAAAAAAGCGTCACTCCCAAAGCACCAGAGTACTACCTTCATTAAGTGCAATTTTACCTTTTGCTTGTCAGGATAGTTCTAAGCAGACAGGTTATGTGCTTGGCCACCCAAGCCTTTTGGCGAGTTTCCCATATTTAAAGTGTGCACCAGCATTTGCAAACTCTGCACCGTCTTTTATCTTTCGGTGTCAAACAAAAACATCCTTAGGCTACACGAGCACTGATTGGAGCGTCATCCTCCTTCATATAGTTTCTTCTTTCAGTCGGGTGATGTGAGGCTTTAGCACTCGGCACCTTGTGTTGTAGAGTGGAAATTGATAAGATAAAAAGAGCAAATCAAGCTTGTGCCGAAGCTTTTGTCTTATTGTCTTATTGTATGAGTAACAACTCATACAATAAGACAATAAAGAGCTGATGTTTGAGGGTAATGATTACCTATTACAGAGTTTATTACTCACAGGTTTATTAACCAAGACTCTACTATAGGCATTATGCTTATAGTGGTTTACAGACTGATTAAAGATGACTTTGATCACTGAGTTGGCTGAAAGGTGGTAGACAATATATCTTCTAATGTTTAATGTTGCCTTAAAGATTTTCTTAGCGTTGCGTGAAAGTCACCTGAAGAATGACTTGTCACTCATCTTTTTTTCTCAGCCAACTGCTGTGATTAAAATGTCTATTTTTGACAGTTTTAGAGTGAATAATTGCTTGGTTAGATTGTTAAGTCCTTTTGTCCTTGAGGGTCAACTCATCCACATTTAGTGTTCCTGCAACTGACCTCTTCTGTCTGTGAGGACAGCAAGCCGGTCGCCTTGCATTCCTCAAGTCTACTTTATATATTCAGTTAGTAGTGGCAAACGTCCTTTTAATTCGTTTGCACTTTCAAGTATTTTTGCAGATAGAAGTCAGACAGACACCAGCTTAAAACCATCACAAGCCCCTTGGTCGTGTTGCCCAAACAGAAGCTACTTTTCATATGACTACACACAATATTTTTCTTTCATTATAAATTTTCATCTGGGCCAAAGGTAAAATGCAGCTTGTCCTTGTGATACATAAGTGAGCTATTCTGTCTTTTTCGCATGATGTCAATAATTTCCCTCATACCTTCATATATCTCTGCTGTTCACCCTCCCTCTTTGCCAGACTAAACAAATAATATTGCAGACAGGGGTCAGATGGATCATGAGTGACCTCAGGCCATGACAAAGAGCTACAGGATAAAGCTGTCAAGCTTTTGTCAAGACATTTATGACATATGTTAACGTAAGCGCCTGCAGCCTTCATGGATATTTTTGCCGTGAACATTGGATGCAGCTTCATTTCTATCAGCGACTGAGTTTACGTGCAACAGAATGGCTTTATTTGAAACCCTGTTACTATTGCAAAAACCTCTTATTCCTTTTATGACTGATCTCACTGATGTTGAGGCTCTCTGTCAACTGAACACACAGGCAGTGTGAGTTATACATTCAATTCAAAATGTAAAGACAGATTGTAAGAATTTACACTGAGTCTGCTGGATTGAATTGTGTTGTTTGAAAAAAAAATATATATATATATATATATATATATATATATATGACCATACTAATAAAATAATACAATTAGATTAAACAGTCAAGTCAACCGGTTCACATTTAACTGCAACTTGCATAATTGGTTGCATTATTACAATGGACTAAAAGTCAATTGATGAACTGGAAATTCAGCGATTCAGCTCCTAACATTCCTAGCCTCGACCAAATGGTTCCATCCAAATCGTTTTGTTTAAATCAGCAAAACTTTTGCTCCCACTGTAAAGTTCCACAACGTTTTCTATCTTCTAAAGCTAGAACAGTAGTTTCCCCATTATCATGTTTTAACAAAGAGAACGAGCCAAGGGGAACAAATTGCCCTTCTCCGTAAAACACTGAAGGCAGCAGTATTGTACACTGAAAGGCAAAGCTGCCGTAATTCTAAGGTATCAGTCAGCAGGAGAGATTGCTTTTCACTGCTGTGACAAAAGGAGAAGGAGGAGTTAGGTGAGGATATATTGCCGGAGCAGCCAATACGGAGGGCAACTCCTTCCGCTCCCCCCCTCTATTCTTTTGAATGAGACACTCCTCTTCACTTTTGCTCTCTGCCTAATGTGTGGAGACAGAGCTGAAAAGTGTGTGTAAGGGGTGCAGTGGCAGTGTGGACATGACACAATTCCGTCTGAGAACCTGATCAAGTCGGTGGACCTGGTCAAGACGTGATATTATCCCCAAGATGAGGACCCAGTTCGGAGTTTTATTTTTGTTGACGCTGTGGGTGGTCTACTCTGATGCTTGGTTCTGGCCCAGGACTGGTACTACAACCTTTCCCCCAACAGTGGACCATGAGGGGTCTGGCAGTCCAGCATTTAGTGGAGAACCACCATCAGAGAATATCGCTGGCCTTGGAGCGGAGATCATTGGTGAGGGACAAGGGATCCAGAAACTTGTGCAGGCTAGGGATGAGACCACGGATGGACCTCGACCGACCACTCTCATGCCCACGACGCTACCGGAGACTCAACTTGATTCAGAAACGGGAACAGCGGTGATTTCATCACACATACGTCAACCTGGTAATGGCACCTCTTCTCTAATGGGTATGGGTTCTGGAGGATCTGATCAGTTGGGGTTTGCAGAAGGCATTTCAGGACATGGACCTGGGCTTGAGTTGGAATTGGCACCAGCCACTAGTCCAGGTCTTTGGTCTGGCTCTGGATTCAGTTCTGAATCTGGATCTGCAACTGGATCTCAAGATAACTGGAGAACTAGCTTTGATGAAAACAATCAAGAAATAGTAATGCCAACTGATCTTAGGGGGTTAGATAGTGGCGGGAGTGAAATGCCCCAAACAAATGAGACGCAATTACAAAACAGTGTCTTGGTAATTGATCACAGCACAGACGAGCTCCATAATCTCAATAGAACAAAATCAAACCAAAATCTAGATTTTTCTGTTGAAACCAACAATTATACAAAAGTAAATGAAAAGCTTAACAGCAGCACTAGTTGGAACGACTCTATTTTAACAAAATATTCTCATGAAATATCTACCCCAAGGTATTTAAGAACCCCAATTGTAGGCAACGACTCATTAGAGACTACCGAGTTACCAAATGATAATCAACCAGTGGATGTTGGCAAGTTACCAGCTGGTGAATTAACAGCTAACCAGCCACCATTAGCTAACAAAGAGACTATACCTGATTCATTTGCTAGCCAGACACTTTCTACAAACCAAATACCGACTAATACCTCCAAAATATTTATTACCCAACCACAAACTACTAGCACGAAACCAGATAGTACCTCAATACCAATAGCTGCCCAATTTCAAGAAGCGAGTCCAGCATCAACAACTAGCCAAATTCACCAAAACATAGACGCTACTCAATCATCAGCAACTAAGCGAGAGCTTAGCCAAGAAGCCACAATCGCACCGACGGGCGGGCGGGCGCCATCTGAAAGCCACACGGAAGTAGCTAAATCAGCACTTATCTTAAAATCCCCTCAGTGCTTGGTGCTCGACACTGCTCTCCCTTTCTGCTCCTCCATGGTTGGGGAAAGCTTTGTTTTACCCAATTACCTCAACCAGAGCAGTGTGGAGGAAGTCCGGATGCTCCTAAACGAGTGGGCGTGGCTGTTGAAGTCACCTTGCCACCATAGTTTGGAGTGGTTTTTCTGCCTTCTCTTGGTGCCAAAGTGCAGCTCTCTGGTCCCGCTGCCGGTGTTGCCCTGCCGGAGTTTCTGCGAAGTCTTGCGGGACAGTTGCTGGGCCCTCCTGGATGAGGGACGCCTCCCCGTGGAGTGCCACACACTACCAGACGAGGAGGATGATGGGTATCAGTGCTTGTCAGTTAGTAACCAGAAAGGTAACTGCTGGTTCAAATGAATCCTAGTTTTTGAATTTATTTTGAACCAGTTTTCAGTATTTTCTCCCACTTGTTCCCAATAACCCACCCGAATAAAGGTCAGTTATCCCTGTCGGCACAGTAAAAAAAGAAAAACAATATTTGGATTCCCAGGCACAGCAAAACAAATTCAGAAGAAATAACAAGCATGCCTCAAGTTTGTTTGTCCTGATGTCAAAAAGGTAAAAGTTCTGGCTAACGCCTAACAAGCATGATTCCAGCACTCCTTACAGTGTTGCATGTATGAGTTCCATTTGTCCTTCCTTTTTGATTGCTTGTGACTTATTAAAGGTCATTATAACACACACACACACACACACACACAGTGGAGTAGGATCATGGGTTTTAAGGTGGTATTTAGCTCTGGGGAGTTTGCATGGTTTTGTACGTTTTTCAAATTTAACCACATAGTTTCTGAACACAGATTGTAGTAAACTTGTAAATGTACGTTTTTTTTCCCGCAGAATTATTCTTACTACTAATCAAATTAGGTTTTTTTTTCCACCTCCAGGCAAGTTTTTTTTCTGGTTATAAATAAATCTGAGGCATTTCTTCTGTAGACAACGTGCTTGAAACACTGTAGATAAATGTGGCATGTAGAATTGCATGTCTTTTTAAACAGCGGGCAGCTTGATGTGCATTTGTCTCTTCAGACATGGATGCATTAGATTGTCATCTATGGGAAGCAGTCATGCTGACATCAATCGAGTTTAGTGGGATGTCAACTTTTTTAAACTGCGTGAGGCAAAACTATTCATTGAAGCTGGAAAGTCCTCAGTTAGGGTTAATTCAATATACATAATTAAATATGAAATATCTAACTGCAGAAGCTCAATTTTTTGTTTTTAATCTGCCTGGATACTTCATAAAAAAGGTTCCACAAAATTCCAACAAACCAATAGTTTAGGCTCAACAATTAAAAAAAGAGACAATCTGTTTCAGTACGCAAGCCTTTAAAGCCTAATTCCTTTCACTGGACTACTTCCCTGCCCTCACACTTCATATCGCTGGGAGCTCAAGACTTTGTCTTTTTACAGCTTCACTATCTTTCTGACAGCTTGCTTCGCTGACAGACGTGAGTGGACAAGATATCCCTGGTTCCAGGACTAAGTGATGTTTGGGCCCAAATAGATTTGAATTGTTTTTTCATCTATGTTTGGATGTGCTTCTACATCGGTGGAGCTGGGATTAAAGCTAGATTTAGACTTGATATGTAGACTTTTTGTAAATACCAGCATACGCTTTTCTTTTTTGACTGCCCCTTATTTTTTGTTTCAGAAATGAAACAAAAGAAATGCCTGAAGGTGTATGTAATGGCCTCTACAACGGCATCTCTGACATAGCTATTTGCAACCTAAGGCAAATAAAAGCTACGATCTTGTTCCGTCATCTTTACAACCCAGGGACGTTTTTTATTGGCTCTCCAGAAGCTGGTCCACCACTTAGTCGTGCCTGTTGGGTGTCACCTGTTAGAGTATCTTTGCAGTGCTTTCAGTCGCTCTAAATCATTCTTGGATAGACAGAAAGCTTCTGCAGTGAAGACCATCTGTTATTACTCATTCAAACCCAGCAATCTCTAAAATGTACTTTGCTATTGACTTACCACTTTCCCTGCAAAGTCTTTGCCCACACATCCTGAAGCTTAATAATCCACCAGACACTTTTTCATCTTCGTTAACAGGTTGGTGAAATGAGGTCACTCACAAACATGGCCAAGATAATATGTTACAATACTCTGTAACTGTGTGACCCAGATTATTTGTGCATTAACCCGGGTTAATGGGTTCCACTGCATCCACCCACGTACAGGTCCTTTTACCTTTCACATTCACTGATCAGAGCCCCTGCCACGCAGTGTCTGGGCGCCTTCATTCTCCGTAATACCACCTCTCCCGTGCATCATTTAACTATGCCCTGTCATGCAAGAATGCTTCATGATGTACACCTAATTCTAAGTCTGTATTTTGATGGAATTACAGTTAAGGGCCGTTGGCATGAGGCAAGAAACACAAGCGAACATCTTAAACACTAAAATAAAGCCTGTGTGTGGGAAGACCGCAGATATATCATTGTGTGCATGGCAACATTGTAAGAAATCTGTCAGATGTGATCCTTTTACCACGGGGGGGCCACTCTTGTGGTTAGACAGGATTGTCGGGGCACAATAGCCCTTTTAATGATCTTTTCCATGGTTACCAGCCTCCCGCTTGAAAGATGAGCAGTCATTCATAACAGGGTCTGGAGGTCAACTGCAATTTATTTGGGTTGGTTCTCCCCGGTAAAGCAATATCCTTCATGAGAAACCGTGACTTTTGTGTCAGTTGAGGCTGATTATTGTAAAGATCTTCGAGATACACAAGGCTTTTGAAGGCATCGGTGAACATTTATTTTGGCTAGTGCAGCCTTTTGGTGGTCTGACCCTGATTAGTAGTTTAGTTGGTTGAGTTGAGCCGAGGTGGACGTAGTATCTCATGACAGGAAGGCTCAAAGCGGGGTCTACTTCTTTTTGAGTTGGCTCCCAGGAGGGTTCCAATTATGGGCACAGTGAAGCCCGATTTTGTTTGCTGCCAGAAACTCATTGACCCGCCTCTGGTTTGTGTTGCGCTGGTACAGAACTAGAACTGATGAGGCCGCGTTGCAAAGCACAGTACTGGATAACAGCCCAGTTGTGAGACTCTTTTTAGCTGTTTTTGAAGGCACTGCAATAACGTAGCGTATTAACCTTTTCCACAAAGAGTAAAGGACGCAGCTCTCGATAGGCCCATCTTCCGCTTTGTGGTTTGACAATCACAGCGAGCGAACATGATCTCCTTCCTGCACTGTGATGTGGTTTTCTGGTTTGACATCTCTTTCCAAACCTTCTGCGTCAGGTTAAAGATTACACAAAATCTGCCCAGGGGTTCACAGAATACAGAATCCTCTACTCTGTAGAGAGAAAATGCCTTTTATCCAGGTCCTTGATATGTAGCACAATATTTAAAACCTCATGTGTTCCTTTTTCCAAATTTAGAGACAAAATACCTTTTATTTATTGTTGTGCAATCTGGTCTTGGTCACGGAGCTGTTAAAAAGACTTATACCATATAGATATTGTTTTAGTATATGTAGAATGTAAGTACTAATCGTGGCACTTTATCTCATTGCAGGGATACAATTGTTGAAGTGTATAGTGCACTTGTGTTTGTATTCATTTCTTCTGCCACAAAATGGGCGACGTGTCATATCGAAACAAATCATGCACACTATAAAATGGACTTGACCAAGTGCTTGGTATTGATTTGACTTGACAAGCATTGCAAATGGCTCATTTTATCCTTGTGAGGAGACAGACATTACAACATAGATCAGACATTTAAAAAAGACCGCATGCCCTGCATGTCATGTGACCGAATTTAATTGACTTCCCTTTTAAATCGTCTGACAAACATAGTTGAAATGCGTAAAAATGATACACTTTTTTTACTTTTCATTTTTGAACAATCACTGGTTTGTACTTTTCATGTCTCCACAGATGTCCTTTCACTGACACTGTCTCAGAGCACGGGTCAGAGCAGTGTCCACTTCCTTGTCAGCGGGCCCTAAAGGGACGCTGTAAATGGCGATGCAGCATAGTCAGACTGCAAAGTTTTCAGAGACAGTCCAGGTGTTTTTTCCCTGAACTACGCAGGATCATCTACTTCCCACCGCTGTTCACACAGCACCACACTGTATATACAGCTTTATCAACAGGGTATCACAACCTCTGGTACCCTGTCCTGGAATGTTAGGAAATGAAAAATAGCCACGTTCCTGGTCAGTCAGGCGCCTTCTTGACAAGACAAACTAGCACCATAAACCGGCACGGCTCCATTCATCGGCAGACCTTTTTTGTCCCCAATTGGTCTTGAAGCTGTCGTGGGTTTGACAAAAGCTGTTTGGCAAACCTCACTTGCGATTGCGTTTTAGTTATTAATCACTGTCTGGTTTATGAGGATTTGCCTTCTTATTTGGTAGTTGTGAACCAAAAGAGTTCACATCTGGTCTGTGTGAGTGAAGACTAATATCTGTTTTGCTAATTAGGGGTTTGGGAAGCTCGTAAACAGTGTGCAGTTGTGACGATGTCTGCTGTTCATTTGGCAAATGCAGAAGAAAATCTGCTGTTCATGTCTCTTCTTGAGAGGAGACAACCAGACTGTTTGGGAGGCCCTATATTCCAGGTTTATTCTTGATTATAAAATGAAAATGGCATACAAAGTTTAGCCTTTTTCAGCCCTTCTCCGGCAGCGATGGAACGAAAGAGAGAGCGAGGTTCAGACATGTGAGCACAGGCCCATTGCAGAGACCCTCCAGGTCTCACTGGGACTTCATCAGAGCAAACATCTGGTAGACCCGCTGCAAATGAGCCAGAGATCGACTGCTCCAAGTACCGGTCTTCAGTAGTGTCAATCTGCATGCGTTACTTCACAATGGACGGTGGTGCGTCTTATGCTCAGGTCTTGATTGTTTCACGATTTTAAAATCAGGAAAGGTTTATCAATGTTTTATCAAAAACGTTTCTTGAAGCTTTTTGTAAGTATTTTTGTAACTATTAAACATCTCCAAATTTGGTTGGTATTTTAGACATTTTTTTTAAATATCAGGGCTTCATCTTTATACTATTGTAACATATTGAAATGTGCATTTAGTGAGGCATCCGATTGACAAATGTGCGGGAGGGGAACTTTATATTTAATGCCAGAAACTATTTTTATTGCCGCCCTTTTAGAGCATGAGACGGTTCTCTGTTTGCTCGGATTCAAATGAAAGCATCTCCAGCTCTCGGGCAGCGTGAAGAAGAATTCATTCATAGGTTCATAGATGTGCTGCAGAAAGCAGGAGCTCGGGTTCAGCTAAACGCCTCGACAAAGCCCACTGCAGACCCCCCTGATATCCAGCGGGGAGGCTTTGAACTCGCACATTAGTCACCAGGTGGTAATCCAAAGCATCTCTTCAAAGCACCTCAAACTACGTCGTCGTCTCCCAAAACAGCGATTTCTCTTTTAACACGAGGAAACATTTTATTTGATCAAAGCCTCAACGAAGAAGTCGAATGCAAACATGTACACGGTTATGTGAACACATCCCTCTTTGTGTTCTTTTTATCTCCTAAACGCCTTGAATCATTATGCAGCGACCCTGCCAGAGTCACCCGGGGTGATGGAAGAGTGAGCAGAGATATGCAGGAGGCCCAGCTGAGCGCCGTGTCAGTAATGCGATACGTTATCAATCTTTACTCGACACGCACTAGATTTGTCAATATGATAAAATGTTTCGAGATTTAAAAAAAAGTTCTATGTAATAATTTTGCTCTGATCACATTTTCTGTTTTGCCAAAACCACATCAGCTGTTCCTGCTCAGACTATTTCAGACTCCATCACTGCATTCATTAATAAGGATTTTTCAAATGAATACAATACAGCAGAAAATTTGTTTTGTTTGACTGTTTTTGCAAACACATTAGGTGTCGAGTGTTTTTTCTCAGACACTGATTGTCACATCTTCATATACTTAATGTATATTTTAAACAATGCCTTTTGATATCCCTTCAAATGTGGAGTCTGCCTTGCAATCTCTTATATGGCCTGATGCCTTTGGATTTTTTTGTGGGGAAGTCAAAGCTCTCATTTTTTTGATGACATGATTTGTTTGTTCGGGGACCCCGAGTAGAGTGGCTATGCCGATACTTCGCCAAAAGTCCTTTTACATTGATTGGATGCAGTAGCTTTTCGTTTCGTTTTTGGTCTCGTGCAGGAAGGACTACGATCCTCTGCAAGTAGTTGAAGTCGTACCTCCATCCATCAGGCACATTCACTTGAAGTCAACCCCCGGCAGCCTAATAGAGCCTGTTCTAACATTTTACCCTGCCATGCAGCCCCCTCTTCTAACCTCCATCACCTCCAACATCACGCCTTTCCACGGCCTCACATCCCTTATCTCTCCCTCTAGAAGACAATGGAGTGACCCTGCTGCAGCTGATCGGGAATCCTCCTCCAAGTACGATCCGCCAGGTCTTGGAGAACGACAACAGCCCCGGCTACGTCCTTGACCACAACACCAACTTGGGTCAGCTGGCCCGTGCACACCTGCCCAACCCGTTCTACCGAAACTTCGCCCTCATCTTCAACTTGAAACCCACGACTGACGGGGCAGCCGTCATCTTTTCCGTCACAGATGGGTCACAGAAGATCATGTATGTGGGTGTTAAACTGTCAGCCGTGCAGGGCGGGAACCAGGATGTCATCCTGTACTACACGGAGCCCAACTCTGAGAAGTCGTACGAGGCGGCCAGGTTCCCCGTTCCCTCCATGAGGGACACCTGGACTCGCTTTGCCATCGCCGTGAGGGGTGACACGGTGATGTTCTACCTCAACTGTGACACAGACCCTCTGGTGATGGCCATGGAGAGGTCCCCGGACGAGATGGAGCTGCAGGCTGGGACTGGGGTCTTCGTCGGGCATGCTGGAGGAGCCGATCCGGACAAGTTTGTGGTATGTGCACAGCCTCCTTTCAGCAGGACAATATTCTGGGCCGAGAATAAGGAAGATAAATTGGAAGATAAACTGTGTCCAGAAAACAATCTTTATTTTGTCAGCTTGATTATATTCAGTGAGTCATACCTAGCATTGCATGGGAGTCAGAAGACTGCACTGTTGTGTTTTGACTTTTCACAGTCGATCATCTGAATCGTCTTGGCCGAATAACTCAAATGACTTGATTGGTCAAATTGGCTCACTCTAAAGCACAACATAAACGTCTGCGTCACTTCACCATCTTAGACCAGAGTAGACTGCAAATAACTCGCAAGACCTCACAGTTGGCATGTAATTAGCTTCAGTCATTTGACTGTTCCCAGCGGTTGACTGCAGCAACTCTCGACCTTTATTAAAGGGTTAAAGTAGCTCCCCGCAGCTGCCTGCACGGACCAAACATGCAACCGCTGCAGAGGTTCACACTTATTTTATCGCTCTGGAGCATTTTCCAAAGAGATAAAAAATCAATATTGACTGGTTGTTTTATGATTCATTATTCTTTTCTTTTACAGTCTGCAGGGGAATTAGTTTCTGGACTCTAGTAATGGTTTTACAATTATAATCCCAAATATAAACAAGGGATTATTACTCCAGCTTCCAGTTTAACCTGAAAAGAGTCCCACCGCTAAAGAGAATGTATATAAAGAAATGAAAATATATTCACCCTGATGAATGTCAAAATCCGAAATGATTACTTCCCATTGGGTTGCAAGCTGTTGAGATACAACTTTCAGTGTTCTTCCAACTGTAACATTCATACTATTGCCTCCCGTACAGCGGAAACACTGGCTTTAATCATTTTTATCACCACTGCTTTTTTTGCTATACGTCATTCTATATCTCTGCCACACTCAGTTTGAGCTTTTCTTTCTTTTATTACTCAAGCCCATACATCTATTGTATTTCCTTGTAGTTGCATATTTTGTCAGAAAGATGTATTTCAAACTGCTTATTTGGAAAAAGGAACCAAACCGTCTCTTCCTTCAAAATATGTTGACCCTAGTTTAGTCTTAAGCTGGAGAGATCTTGTGAATTTAACTACTTCAATCAGATCAAGACTTGTGGGGCTCATTTGGATTTTAAATATTTACATTACGTAATTATAAAATGGAAATTCCAATCTGTTACTGGATTTGTTTAGTTGATGTCCCTTTTTCGTGTAATCCATCACTAGCACAACCGTTCTTCTGTGACAATTTAATCTTTTCTTGTACATAGGATCTAAGATTTGTTGTGAAGACCGAAAGCAATTTGTTAGAAATAGACTGAGACACATTGTGCAAGTTACAAAAAAAGGGACGACCATTAAAAGCCTTAAAACGGTTTCAATGAACCGTTCATCTTCAAAGTTCTTTCCAAAACTCCATTTAAATTTTTTCTCAGGACATAAATCTGTCCTGAACAGTAAACTTCAAATAACTCCGTAGCAAAAAGTGGCCTCTACATTGAGACCTAATGGGACTTTGATAGCTTGAATGCTATCTGACGCTATCTGTGCAGCTGTCTTGTGTGGGAACATGTAGCACATTGTGTGTGGGGGGCAGAGCTAGTGGCACTTCACAGGCCCACACTAATAATGGAGACATCAATAGCTCCTCTGATTTTATGGAAATGGGCAATTCCTTGAAATACAGATAAGATGTTGAAAGTCAGACATACTTTGTGTGTGTGTGTGTGTGTGTGTGAGAACAAGTGCTGATTATTATGTTTTCCGACAGGGGGTGATCAGTGAGCTGAGGGTGGTGGGAGACCCCCTTGCTGCTGAGAGGCTCTGTGAAGAGGATGAAGATGACTCCGATATGGTAAATAACATCAAAGCACATTTTGCACATACCAGACAAGCAAAGAGGGAATGCTGCGCTGTAAGAAATAGGCCTACTATCTGAAAGAAATATAAGACAGTATTTGGTAATTAGGTTTCAAATGTTGTCAACATGTCCAACACTGACCAATGCCGTCCGCTGCTAAGCAGCAGTTACCAGACACTGCAGGCCTGTCAGATCTCTCCAAAACCCAACATGAAGAGTGTGAGGATTGAACATATTTTCTAGACCACAGTGACGATTTCTACATTTTTCTACAGGCTCTGTAGTCTATGTTTTACAGGTCTTGTTTCACATCTAGCAGAACTACTGGGTACCCGACACGAGGAAGTCATATCTGGATTCTATCACAGTTCACACTAATGTTTTAAGCTTTTCAGCCTCTAGATAAGTTGTTGAACCCCCTTGACAAGATTTTAAAAAGAGTTGGGAGCGTTTCCCTGTAGCTAACATTAAGCTAATAGCCTACGTAGCTGAAGCTAATGAAATCTGCCAGCATCTGCCAAAATTGTCTGCTTTGGACTTCCTCTCTCTAAAATGAGGAAAGCATCATTTAAAATAGGTTATTACTTGCATCAGACAGATGTCCTAAAGTACATTTGATATTTTACAATATTTTACATCAAATATTAGCAACAGTAAATCTGTAAGCTAAGAGCCGGAGACCCCGACCACCCACACACACTCACAGGTGCCGCGCTGCAGCCGACCAGCAGCATCCACTGTGCGTTAGTGAAGCAGCTGCTCCGCTCGCTGAGGCCACCAAACCCTCCGCCCGACCGTCAGAGCAAAGTGCAAGACTTTGTCCGCTCGCTGTCGTCAAATCTTTAGACGTTGTTTGGATTAGATCGGAAAAATAACATTCCAAGTGGAAATGACAGGTTTCGCATTTCAGGAAGTCTTACCTCACACGCAGCTGTTCGATGTATTGAGTTACCAAGATGTTCTGAATTCAGTTACGGTACTATATTGTAAACTATTGGATACAGCAAATGTACAAGCATTTGACTTAATGCCATTAGTAGAACAACATAATGTATTATTTAGAGTTTGAGGGTTCATAACACCCCATTTCAACCAGGTAAAAGGCTCATTGAGATTTATTATGCTTTTTAAGTGGGACCTGGCCAAAGAACACGTATATAATACTGTCACTCACATCAGAGGTTTCTTCCAACCCTTCCTCTAAGCAAATGAGTTATTTCCTCAATAAAGAAAACTGCTGCGGCACAAAAGCACAATCAATGGCAGTGATGGTAAATATCTAATTTCTTTAAGGTTTTATTTTGCAGAAACGTATGCAGTTAAGTGAAATAAATGATGTATTCAATAACATACTGCTCAACTAAACGGATGAATTCCTTTTGAAATTGGAATTTTACCATATTTATATTTCATGAACTGACTCACTTGGTGTGAGGACACATGCATGCAAGAACCTGAAAATGTCTGATGTTTCTCCTCAGGCTTCAGGTGAAGGAAGTGGCTCTGAAGAACCCAGACAACCAAAAGCACCCGGGAAGAAACTTAGCACGACGGTATGGAACAACTTTGTATTCGCAAGCTAATTTAATTTTCATTCTTTTACTCGCAAGAAAGACTTTTCTCCATCATTTAGGCTTGGTTAGCTTGTGTTTTATCAATAATGTTACCGTTCCCTGCAGCTAATTTGCTGCTGTTATTATTCTTCTCGGTACATTATGTTAAAACAGGATGGCTTTGGTTGACAGTTTTTTTTTCACTGTGAGGTTGTGTGGAACTATAAATCGAGATTTGAGATTGAGATTTGAGTGAAAATAGAAGAACGAATAAAACTGTGTTTAAAGAGGACTCAAAACGCTGACCAAGCCATGAACGTGAACCTGGCCAACAAAGAGCATCGCTTTGCGTCTGCAGACTGAGTCATCCCAGTCTTAGATCTACACTGATGTCTCAAGTTACTCGCTATAAGTGAGTGAACATCCCTCAAGAGAGATTAAAAACTGCTGAGTTGACATCTGGATTTGGGCCGCTTCTGTTTTATAGATCCGGGGACAAAGACTTTTTACATAGAGTTTCTCCATGTCAGACTAGAAAGGGAAGTGACCGTGGCAAGTTCAAAATGGACTATTTCTTGAGTTAATACAACTCTTCTGAGATTCCTGGTAGCCTAAAAAGAATGTAAGGTCAGTCCGAAGGATGCCAGGCTTTGGTTGTTAGTTTTAGCACATTCTTTCAGCATGAAGTTAATGCTTGAAGAGCAGGGATTTACCTGGTGTCAGGTGAGGCGTGTTTGCCCTGCATAGATCGGTACACTTATCCCCCAGACGGAGGGCTAACATACCAGATATTACTGACTGATTTTACCAACCGTTCGTTATTGCCCTTCCCTCCCGCTACTATTCCCCCCGTTGTTTTCCTTTTCGTTCTCTTAATCTGGGCATGTTCTTGTATCTCGCGGTGTCCTTATCTCACCGTTTGTCCCCTCACGCCCCCTCGTCGTTCCGTCTTCCTCTCTCTGCTCTCTGTCTGTCTCACACTCACGAGCACACAATCAGATTCTACTGACAGCCGCTCACATCCTCCCGGCCTTCATGAAGACGCTTCCACCAGCAGCTTGCACTACCGCCTCTGTGGCGTGCGTGCAACCCCGCTCACAATTACAGTGGAGATTGGGAAAAACCAGATGTCGATTTGGACGCGATGCGATCCGAGTCGGAGGGCCCCCGCCACCCGCCTCAAGGCTTTGTTATTCTGACTGGTTTCTCCATCAACTGTGTGCGGAGGCGGAAAGAAAGCTGGAGCGTGAGCCAAAGGGGGCAGGGTCAGGCACCGGGACTCGGAAGTCTCCTTAACCTTTCTGCTATGTGCTCGGCAACTTTTAGAAGGGGCTTTTCCATCTGTTCAGAGGGCTTTTACTGTGCAGCACGCAATGTAATGTAGCGCACAGCAGCTGGTATCTAATGCCTACCTGCCCATGTTTTTCCATCTAAAAGGTGGAACCTGCACAGAGTGTAGTGTCCAACCGCTGCAATTAAGGCAAGTCCAGGCAGAGAAGACTGAGACGGGGGAGAGTACAAGCAGAACTTTCCACTTTGTCATTGTGGAATGTGTGATGATAGACGGCAGAGCCAGTCAGTCACCCTTAGCGGTGTCCCTGCTCGCGTCCCTTGCAGCGTGAAACCCAAAGAGGAAATGCTTCAAGAGCTTAATTCCGGCTGCATGTGATGTGAGGGATTGTCTCAAGCAGAGCTCAGCTGCAGAGTTCTTATCAGCGTTGGTCTGTAATCTCCGCTTGTCGGCCGTGCTGTGACAGCTGATCGATTCTGCAATAGTTAGAACGAGTGCTGAAGGACCTTTCCCTCTCGATTTGAAGTTCAAAGCAGCCATCTGATGCCAACAGGCATGTTTAGCATTAGGAATGCGTGTAACTCCTAATGAGAAGCAGCAATGTTTATTTCTGATTATGATTCCAGATCCCATTTCACAACACAATGGCCAAGGGGAGTTAATCACATGAGAGGCAAACCGAGGGTGCTGCAGATTATAGACAGCATCCAGTGAGTTCCCTCTGCAACACTTCATAGGAGGAAGGAGGAAAAAAAGAAGGGGAAAAAAAAGCATACACGGTTCCAGAAGTGGAATACCTTCATTGCCGAGGGAGCTGCATACCTGCTCTTAGATTCAGGGGGTCATGTGGTTCAAATCCATCAACACGGTGTTCTAAAGATGGGAGCCTCCCACCCTTCAACCCCAACTATGATGGATAAGTAAAGGAGTGAACAAGCAGGGTATTCTTTATCATATTGACGCTTACATCAACTTAGAGCCATCTAGAGCAGGCCTGCCAAATTCTTAGCATAGCCAGTCCTGCGCGACACAGTGGGGAGAATTCCTATAAAAGAAACTGGTTAATTATCGACAGTGGCTTGGCTTTGCCCCCTCTCTCCGACATTCTTCATCCCGCCCCCCCCCCCTGAATTCCACAGGTGACAGTCCGAGGCGTGTCACCGGTGAAGAACGAGCCACTGGGCCGGAGGTGGCTGCACTATTACCTCCCACTCGGTGGCAGTGTGGGGGAAGTGGCCCCTCTTCCCCGACCTTCAATAAGTCCCGTTGCTTTTTCACTGTCCTGCTGTGTTGTTAGTGACGGGAAGACCAACCAATCCGTCTTTCCTGTCGCCACACTTTACCATCCTCACGGTACTCTAAAACATAAGGAATGTGTCATTTCTAAATATTTGGAGCTATTTTGTGAACTAACTCACTCATTGAAGTCGGGGTGTCATTCGAATTCCGGGTGACTGATCAGCAAAGCTGGATCAGAGCAATAGACTGACAGCTGTATTCCCTGAGCTTTAAGATTGTTCGCATACAGAAAATGTCTGACAGCAAAAACACAAACTACAATTACCGAAAACCATGACAATTTGCCCAAAATACGAATACGAACACACTTTAGGCTTGATTTGCAATGCACATGTTGACTCAATCATGTTTACTCTGTTTAAAAGACTTCTAGTCGAGTTGGGAAACAACCTTGTTTGTTAGGAAGAGAGCTTTGGCTGCACAAAGTAGAAGCATTAGTGGGTTTGGATGGGAACACAATGCCTACTTTGTTCCCATGCAGTTACATGGCTGTTGCGTTGGTTTATTCAAAGGGGAAAACCGAGCCATAAAATCTAGCTAGCTTAGTGCCGCTTCCACAATGTAATCTGCTGCCCTTTGAAAATGAATGTGTATCTCTCTCTGTTGCATGACCATTCACCTGCAGACTCCTCTTCCACCCTCCCCGCCCATTCAGCAGCCCCCACTGACGAGGAGAGAGGGAGACACGAGTACGACAGAAACAGGTGAGTTCATGTGGACACAGTCGACACTTCCTATGAAAAGAGACGGAATTAGATTCTGTTAGCAGAAAGAGATCAGAACTAACATGCGATGGAATATTATGTTAGTTTAATCTCTAAACTGGGAACAAATCAAGAATCAGTCCTTCTTTATTCAAACCAGACACATTCAGACTATTCTCTTTACAGATGCCTCCTCATCTTTCATACATTTATCATTTGTAAGGTAGAGAATAGGGCTTTTACTTCCCCATGCCGACACGCCACATGGCACACTTGTCGGGTGTGGAGGGGGAATGTTTAGGATGGCACACGCTGCTGCCGTTGCCACATGCATGGAAGATGCATAACGGCATGAGCCGCAGAGGATTGCACTGGCACGTGTCTCCACCTAGTGGCGGCGAGGATTAGTGCAGCAGAGGTCGGAAGGCCGTCAGTTATGATGAGCACTGACGTGTAACGTGCAGGTGCTGCTAATTGTGGAAATTGCATTGAAATACATAACTTGGGGCTCAGAGGAATACAGGTTCATTGTGGGATGCCAATGTCAGCTCATAAAGACAAAGAAAGCTGGTTTGTGTCAGAGAAAATCGTGACTATGGGAAAGGGGCTGTGATGAACTGACTAACATTAAGCACAGTTTGTCTTCTTGTGTGCTCATCAGAGTAACCAGGATCCGGTCAATTCCCCATTCACATATTTGGCTTTGGGTTATTACCCGTCTGTAATTTATTCATCAAATAACAAAGTTAAGGCAAAATAACCAAACCAAACTATCGCGACTGAGTGGCGCAAACAACAAAGGAGCAGACTCCACATCCTGGAGCACCCATGTGACTTACAGGAGTCGATCCAGAGAGCTCATTTAACACCGTCTCTTGGTTCGTGCTCAGCGAGACACTTCCAGTACCTTTCACTTTCTGTGGCGTCCGGCCGGGAACCTCCTGGGTCGCCAGGTGGGTCGTGGGGGGAGTTTAAAACACGGAGACGAGCATCCATATCTCCCGTGTTTTACTTCCCCTTTTCATACTCTCCCATCTCATGCGCTGCCTGCTTCATGTGTGCTCCTCGTGCCGGACCTCACATGACACGGGCATGCACGAGTCTCTCTACGCTATGCTTAGGGTCAGGGTTGTTGGGTTGTTGGGTCGTTCAGGCTGTTAAGATATACACAAGGAGAAAATAGAGAGAGAGAGAGATAATGTCAATGTTAGAGGAAGAAATGTTTCGGTAGAGCTATTTATTTCTTAAAAACAACAAGGATTTGAAAATGTTGCATATTACCATAAGCTGCTAATGACTTGAGGTATTAATGTTTTCAGTGAACGTATACCGTGCTTGTGTTTCCGTTCAGAGGCCATGACATCCGGTTTTCATTTCTAAATCTAATCCCTGAGCTGGAACCCTTCAGAAGTGGACATAATTTTGCGCCGCTTCAAAAGATGTTTGACTTCCTCACTGCCCAGGAAATTGGTTGCATATTATATGTACTCAAGTGAAAGGAACATTTTAGTGAGAAGAGTTTAGGGTCAATTGAGCTCATCCCGGAGTATAAATATCCGGATGCTGGTTTGTGCAGCGCTGGGAAAGTGTTATCCTCCCAAAACCTTCACGAGGCCTTTAAATCGCATTCACGCACACACACACACACACTGGGATTCTCACTCCAACAACCAAGAAGTCTTTTCCTCTACACCTTCTTTTCTCTGCTTTTGGCTGTATATTGTTGGGAAAATACAGCCATTCATCCATTTTGAAAGGTCTTTTCATGAGGACATTAATGACTGTCCTTTTGTCGCTGTTTACAGGTCCTAAGGGAGAAAAGGGCGACCGGGGGGATCCAGGACTGAAAGGAGACAGGGGCCCAATTGGGCCGAAGGGAGATGCTAGCGCTGGATCCGGCTCACGAGGCGGAGCCCGTGGAGAGAAGGTTTGGACTCTCTTATGTGATCTGCTTTGGTTGTAGACGGAAGGCTTTTATGAGACACGTCATATTTGTCCTGCGTGTGAGGGGAGAGTTTGTCCTCGTGAAGGTCGCAGTCACCAGTGAGTAGACTCGACCAGATGGGTCGGAAACACCGTTGTGTGGGCTTGGCTGTAACGTCCCAAAGGAACACTAGAGGGAGCTGCAAGTCCTAATTTCATGCAGGCAAATTCATTCTGGTTTTAGACTAAACAAAGCGGTAGAGACGTCATTTACAATAAAGCAGAGTATTTTTGGGGCTCCAGATGAAGCATGAATGAAGCAAATAAATCAACTACAACTGAAGGGAAATTAAATGACATGAAATGTTGAACCTGCATTGCCATAAGACGAAAAATGAAGTTTGGGACGGTATTCTAATCTGCAGTTGCTCATCGAGAGAAGCAAGCTCAGTAAAAGCACCCGACTCCTGCAACGTGATCCAGTCATATGAGTGTGTAGCAAAAGGGCAATATAATGTCAGCCATTGTTATGTTCCTTTGTTTGTATTTGAGTCACACATACTGTTGTTGACATTTCCTAATCTTAAATTGTGTGTATGTTGATGCATAGTTCTTTGGTTCTTTGGGCCAAATCCCATTTATTTTACAGTAATTGTAAAATGCAGAAAATGATCTAAATTATCTCATTACTGTTGGTCAGACATTGATTTTATATTCTCTGTCTTCAAAATAACACACACATAAGTTACATGTCCTATTATACACAAAACAAAACATACACTGATATAACTTGGCAGCCGATACGGACACATAAAGATGTAAAAGATCATCAGAAGTAAAATACAAACTCTACAAAGCAGGAAACACAAACCCTGAATGGAAGTTCTCCAGCACGTGGAGGTGTCTGCATATGCTCATGGTTGTGTGTTTCAGGTGTTTTATGTTGCACGTGACAGGCTTCACGCTGCTGCTGGCTCTGACCTGCCACTTGTTTTCTTCTTTTCATTTCCAGGGGGAACCAGGGGAAACGGGTTTAAAGGTAAGTTGGAGATCATCTCATGGCTCTTAATTGGAGTCGACCAGGAGCAAAGTTACAGGCGTCATGTACAAACACAACAAGGATCATGCGCAATATTACCTCTTTATTTTAGTTTCTTCTTTTCATTTTGTAACATTTATCTTCTATTGTTATTCTGTAAGGCCCTGGGACAGTGTTACTCCATTGCTCTTATGTTGTTGCACTTTTTGGAGAAGCTTTAGTCACCTTCTTATCTCCAGGGCACCGCAGGCTTTGGCTACCCGGGCATGAAGGGAGACACCGGCCCACCTGGGCCGCCCGGTTCCCCCGGCCCTCCGGGACCCGCAACCGAGGTCTTAGTCGGTAGTGGCGGCTCGGTTTCTTCCAGAGTCCCCGGACCTCGAGGGCCGGCCGGACCACAAGGAGCTGCGGGCCCCCAGGGACCACCAGGAGCTGATGGAGAGCCGGTTAGTTGTCTGCGCTTCAATTATTTTCATGAAATCATCCAAACAAAAATCTCTCTTCTACATTTGCTTTCAAATGAGTCAGGCCGAACATGGACGACGATATCTAAATAAGAATATATCTTTAAATGTGTCTCAGAGGACTTTTATTTACTTTTTTCATTCCTACAGGGGGATCCTGGTGAGGATGGGAAAACGGTAAGCTGCTTTGACCCCTCCTGCCCCCCACGCACCCCCTCCACAAAACCATGAACCCTGACTGATGGCTTTAACTATGATCATCCGCCAAAAGTTTATGTGGTGATGGATTGTTTAAGCAGGTTCTGAAGTTGCTCCGATTGATCACTGATCCTTATCGGCTCATATTCATTCTAGATAGTTAGATTGGGGGTCTCTGTAAAGAGATGATTCCTCCTTTCACACAAACATGGCTTGTTCTCTGAATGACCAGGCACAGCTATTGCTGCTAAGAGGCAACTTCATGCAAACGGACGGTTTGTCTTTGGGAGGACGTTCACATTGATCATCCCTAAAAAATGCTGATCGGAGCACTTTTAGAAGATGTCCACTCACGTTCCTTGTAATTGCACCCTGAGCGCCCCAACATTATGGTTTCCTGAACACAGGGTGCTGAAGGACCACCTGGCTTCCCAGGATCCCCGGGGAACTCTGGACCTAAAGGAGATAAGGTTAGATGGTCACTCACATTAGCAGAATAACAAATATTCTTATGTTTTTTTTCTGAATAGGATAAAATAATGAGACTTGTGTATACAGGGAGACCGTGGAGATGGTCAGCCTGGCCCCAGGGGACCGCCAGGACCTCCGGGACCGCCAGGAACAGGATCTGTGAGTCAATCCAGGCCTCACATGCTGCATATTCAGCAGACTGCCTGCGTGACGTATTTGTTAACTGATTTTCGGTCCGTGTTTTTCAGACTTTTGTGGACATGGAAGCCTCTGGGTTCCCTGATCTGGAATCCATTCGGGTGAGAAGAATTAGAATTTGAAAGAATACGTTCAACAGGAACAAACTATGTAGTGGATGTAGCCTCTTTCTTGCTCTAAGACTAACTAGCATCTTTTAATGAAATACATTTTGTTTTTTAGGGATTGCCTGGTCCCCCTGGTCCCCCTGGACCCCCGGGTCCTGCTACTGATTTTGTAGGGTCAGCATCTAGTTCTGGGGCATTTGGACCCCCAGGAAAGGACGGGAATCCCGGTCAACCAGTAGGTGTCAATCTGTTTGTCTCTCGGCATCACTAGCCTAAGAACTCTCTGACCCAGTGGTTTCTCAACTGGTCTGGCGGCGGGGTACCGGCACGTACCCGGACCAGCAACCCGACCCGCGTCCCACCAGTTGAGAACGACTGCTCTAAACCCTCTGAATCATGATTGAAATGAGTGTGCAGTCAAACCCAATCAACAACGACCGAATGTCTGAACCAAATTCCTTTAGGGCTTGCCGGGTTCTGATGGACTCCCAGGAGTTTCTGGTCCGAAGGGAGAAAAGGTAATCTGTTGTTCTATGCCTCGGCCTTTGTTGGAAATATTGATTACTCAATTATGTGTGTGGGTGGTCGCGCAAATGTACATGATATCCGTTCAGTTCCAACACGTCTGCGTTGTGATCGATGTGTAAGCTCAATCATCGGGTAGTGAATGGAGCGCTGCTGTGACCAGTTAACTTTACTGACTGGATAACAGCGTTTCCCCACGACTGCACCCGTGAGAGGGACAGTTACTGCTACCTGGTACCTTCTAGGATGTGAGGGATGGGGATCTGCCAGGGATGTGTACAGTGGGAGTCGGTGCTACGCTAACCAGTCGCTTGCTTGCTTCTCCAACTGTCAAGTGGGAGGCAAAACACAGTTTTAAATGTTGTATAAGGGACCGGTTTTACATGAACAATATTTGAGCCTAAATAAGAGAAACAGACAGTTATCGATGTATGAAGGCTTGAAAGAGGGCTACATTTTTTTGCCAAAACTGGCTCCCAGGATTATAATTATTAGGGCAAAAACACAAGTGCTGTCGTAGCTGCATGCCGGTGGATATGCATCCATAAATATGTTCAAATATTTTGACTTTATTGGAAAATTGTATTAAAAAAGCACAATTGCAGCATCATTGCAGTTTGTAGTGTTTTTAAAAAACATATTTTGTTGCTTTTTCCTACATTAGGGTGATTCTGGCGACCTGGGCCTTCCAGGAGCAGTTGGAGAGAAGGTGAAGGGTTCATTGTCTTTGTTCTTTTCAGTTCTACTTGTCCTGTTGAAGTTCCATCTACAATCAAAAACAGAACTCAATGCAAATAGCTTTTTTTGTGACCAGTATCAGATATCCCATGATCCTGAATAAAGGGTAACGGGTAAATGCATTGGTGGTGTGCTTTTGAAATAACTAGTTACGGTGCCCATTGGCTAATTAGAACAACTTGTCAATTGTCATCCAACCCTTTAAAGCTCACTTATCCCTTTCATTTCTCCAGCCAAGCTTCTACTTTTCTTTTCCCAATATACTGCCCCACTATTTATCCTCCTACTTCCCTAAGCCGCCAATCCGTAGGCAACGGGGCGCCAGCATGTCAGCCATCAAAGGGGATTTGTGTCTGCTAACCATATGCAAATGTTTGTCAAATATTGTCAGCCAGACTTATAGATTAATCTGAGTGCTGCTTGGTTGAACATTTGGTAACGTCTGAATTTGGCCCGAGGACAGAGAGCGTGGGTTTATGTGCCGTTACATTGATCTTCGTTCTATTACACCACACATACAAAGCCAAACGCTGCAGGAACAGTAACAGCAGTTGTGTGCAGTATATGTGACACAATGAAGATTTGCTTCAATGAAGATTAAATCTTTGTATTATATGTATTTACAGGGGTCTCGAGGAGACCCTGGTTTACCAGGAACCCCGGGAGAGACTGGACTGGCCGGTCTTCCCGGCCCTATTGGACCAGTTGGGCGACCTGGGCCTCCAGGGCCTCCCGGCCCTGGCTATAGTGTTGGATTTGTAAGTTCTCTATTTGTTTTTCAGATGACACCTTCTGTGAGAGTTGACCGTGTATCAGCGAGAAATAAAAGCTGTTGTATGTGTAATTTAGTTGTCTGGGGCCGTTCTGCTCAACGATAGAGCTGTTCCACGGACACATTGTCGTTGTCCATTACTATGTTCATCACGGTGGTAAATTATTTGAAGGGAAAGCAACCAATCCAGAGAATAATAATACAGCATGGAAAAAAAAACAAAAGCCCATTTTGTTTGGCCAGCTGTCATACGATCTTTGCTGTTGTTTGAAGGATGACATGGAGGCCTCTGGTGAAGGCTTCAGAAATCGACTTCCTGGCGAAAGAGGAGTTGAGGGAAGACAGGTCAGTACTGCAATAGAAAAAAATCAGGTTTTGTGGAAGATGATACAGAATATCTTCAATTCTTTAAAATGCAATGTTTAAATCTGCCAAAAGCTCCTCCTTGTGCTGAAATTCCCCACGTAGGTCCCTGGATCGTATCACTACCCTTAAAGACATGTCATCACTTTGTCATCACTTTGTCATTTAGTGACAAAAATACTGAGTGTGCCCTTGTGTAAATGTCTGCCCTATTTGGCCTCCCTGCCATTTATTCGAAAAAATGATTTGATTGTTTGTTTAGGAACAACATGCCGTTTGTACAGGTCTTCACTGTGCACGTTTGTTGTTTTGAAATCAATGTTTGTTGAAAGTTGGAAATACATGGGGAAGATATACATGAACCTGCAAATAACCAAAGCCAATATGTGCTTTCAGGGTCCTCCAGGCTCTCCTGGACTTCAAGTGAGTAACTAAAGTCATTTTCAAGAAGGGCTCCGGAGTTGGTTTTGAGTACATGAAATCCGTGGAAACACACAAACGAGCAAAATACTGCATTAAAACTTGAATACAATGCATTGCATTTGTTCACACTTTATGATGCTTTGTTTAAAGTAATTAAAAACTTAACATGTTCAAAATGTCTTCAATCTAAACTAGTTAAGATTAAAGAAAAACAGGCAAACCCTGAATTTATTGTATACTGTACGTTCAGTAAAACATGTGAAAAGTAATTGGGAGTTCTGGGTTAACAAATACAATCAATATCTTTAAATTAAGGGCAGGAATGTGGTCATAACATAGTTTTTTGGGTATCTCTCAAGTGTGATTTTCCCCATTGTGCCTCTGCAGGGTAAAGATGGGGTTCCTGGTTTACCGGGTCAGAAGGGCACTGATGGTCTCACAGGAAGAGATGGACGTCCGGGGTTGGATGGCTTCCCTGGACCTCAGGTAATACCGAGAGAAATAAGAATACGTCATCATCTTACCTTACCGTACTTCCAAACGACGCAGAAACAAAAACAAAAGCGGTTGTGAATAATAAAGAGTTCTACTTTTTAGAGCAGATTTTTACAGCAATTCTTTACAAAATGGTTATTGTAGGACAGCACAACCTCAGGCTGCCCGTTATAACAAGTATTACCCAATGTAACCATGCACGTTATTTCTTGACCTTGGAATTAGTCGTCTAAAAACACTTTCAATTGCATTCAATTCCTCGGCATGGTCTTCATCATTGGGTTGTTTCGGTTTTCTCAGGTGTTTTTCATGCTGGTTTTTGTGTCAATCGCACCAGTATCAACTGTTACCAGCAAACGGCATGCTGGGTAAAGCTGGCTCTCTGTCGATGTACGAGCACGCTTTGCACCCGAATGAGGCGTGTGCTGTGGTAATACTGGGGAAACGGTCTTGGCAGGTGTTTTGTGCATTCAAATTTGCATGTGAATGGAATCTTAAACTGTTGAATACGATGATCAATTAAAGTCATTTATCAGGTAATTACATTATGTGATGTGATAGGAAGCCGTGCTTCTAATTAAAAGGTTGTTCCTCTCGTTTGTTGTTGGATCTTTCAGGTATTTGGCCACCTTGGTTAACGTTTCCTTTGTCTCGTCCCTCTTTCATTTCACAGGGACCAAAGGGGGACACTGGCAACAAAGGAGAAAGGGTGAGTTTCATCTTCATTGTAGTCATTTTTATCTGCAAAATATTGAATCATTTATATTGATAAATGAGGACATTTTGATCTCATAAAATACTTCTACAAAAGAAAGATAACAACGAACTAATACTTGTCATTCTCCTTCAAAATACTTGTATTCTTTATGTTGGAACAGATATAACAAACTGAAGCTGGGTCCATTTCAGCATTTGATGAATCTCTCTCGGAGGTGGGACAGTCACTCATCTTTTTGCTGTGTATTTGTTGTTGTTTTAGGGCAACCCGGGTCGAGATGGAACAGGGGTCCCAGGGCCACCCGGACCACCTGGGCAACCAGGACAAATCATCTACCAAAGACCCGACAATGTAAGCAGCACAACGCACACTGCACGAGTTTATTTTAGAATGAGTCTTGAGTCACTTTGCTTGCACAGTTTAGTGTTATAGTTATTGTTAGTTCATGTGTCTGTTTATTTTTCCAGGGAGGACCTGGTTTATCTGGCCAAGCTGGATTACCTGTAAGTCTCCCAGTGTTACATAATAATGGCCTTTACTCTTATTGTGACCTTAATTCTTTTGTTACTTCACACTAAATGGTGAATACATTTCATTTTAATGTTGCTGTCTCTTTGTCGCCTGTATTCTTTTTTCACCCTTTGCTAATTTACCGTTATTCTTTTTGTTTATTTTAATTTATATTATTGTCACCAAATGCCAAACCAACAATGTTTTTTTATTCCCCCCTCTCATTACTTTCTAACTTCCCATACAAATCTCAACAATTACCATTACACTTTATGTGTGAGCTATTCTTCCTGGTTTGATATGGTCAGTGCTGCGTTTAAATAAGTGCTGCCGTGTTCTTTAATGCGCCAAAAAAGGTTTTTAACTTTTGAATAAAAAAAGTACAGTTTTCTGTTTGCAGTTAATTAAACCCGCATTACGGGTTTATTGAATATTCTAACTCTTGACCCTGGATGTTTCTTTAATGTTGTGTAGAAATACTTTAAATGAATTCAAAATCTTCTGTCCAAAATATACAATTTTAGTAAGTAAACTCCTACGTTTAGGCACTGTAGATTTTAGATAACTCCTTTTGGAAGACAGTGTCAAAGAGGAACAAGATACATCGGGCTTGTGCTGCACTGTTGGAAATGGTCTTTTGATTTAACCACAGGTTGCATTGCTGCATGTGGGTGGACGCTCACATCGTGATTACAGACTGTGTTTAGTCTTTAATCAATGCTACCTCCATTTCCTTCAAACTTCCATAACAGACCATTTTAAAAGGAAATGTGGTCTTCCCCTAAAGTAAGCAAGCATCAAATGCGTCTCTGCAGTAGAGTTAGCAGGTGACAAATTGACACTGCAAGTCTATGACATCTCATCCACTTGATCTGGGAGAATACTCTGCTGCTGAGAGTTTACAACCCATACGTACTCTTTTACCCTGCAGGGTCCTTCTGGGCCAAAGGGGGACAGAGGAGACACTGGCCCTCCAGGCTACGGGGACAAGGTCTGGTCCTCATTAAACTATTCATGCAGCCTCGCTTCGGCACTGAGGCACTGCTGTAATTGAGGGTGTGTTGTCGTCTCGCGTGTGCGGTTCCGTGTTCAGGGTGAGAAAGGAGAACCGGGCCAGGTAATCGGACCGGATGGAAACCTCGTGCATCTGGAAGGGCTGACGGGTCCGAAGGTCAGTCCCACTGCTTCCGACTGTGTGCATTTACTGTATGTCTCTCGTTAAAAGAGGTACACGCCTCTCCTCCAGAGTATATGCCTTGTGGTTCATTCATGTTTTTGGTGATCCATTTGTTGTTGTTACTGATCCGTTTCCTCTAAACTGCCTGTAGGGAGACAGAGGGACCCCTGGACCCGTCGGACCCCCTGTAAGTGTTTGAGCATCGCTATCTGATACCTCTACAATCTTTTTAACCCAAAATGGATTTTTTTCCACCACTTCATTCCCCTGTCGGCTCACAATGTCTTTCATCTCATGATTTATTGAATAGGGCCAGTATGGGCCTGCTGGAATAAAAGGGGAAATGGGAATGCCTGGAAGACCCGTAAGTACCCCTTCCTTTGCTTTATTGTTATTCCATAGTCATTTGAATAACCTATCGCATATTGCTTTTGTCACATTTAAATACCATTGTTTCCTTTTTCCGAGTGCAGGGAAATATTAATGGATGACTTTAAACCCTCAGGGTCGCCCTGGTGTAAATGGTTACAAAGGGGAGAAAGGAGAGACGGGAGTTGGCTACGGTTACCCGGTAAGTATTGATAGCATTATTAATAACCGATTCGACCGTTGCAAAAGTTAAAACTGATTGTTCCACATCATCTTGTTCACTTTTCACTTACCAACCAAGTCATACACACCTACAATACACCATCTTTAAAAAAAATTAAACTGACCATGAAATCAATGATGTGTTTTAAAACTGCACTCTGGTTGATCAGTGGAATAACGATCCATTTTGGTCCTAATTGTTCAGTTGTTTTCTAATGACTGAATTCTATATATTATCAAGAAACACATCTTTGCTAAACACGTTTAGTTTTACATGAGTCCCTTCGTGGGATTCAAATGTTGTTTTTACAAATCGGTTGATTAAATCAACTCATCAATTATTACCATCATGCGATAGTTGACTAGGAACTGTTTCGGTCGAGGACGGTCCTGATCTGTTGATCTTTAAGAATCAAGAATATATAACAGTATCATAGCCGTCAGTGCAGGCTTTTTTTAAAACGTTTGAATAAAAAATCTAAATGAAACACGACTTGAATAGATTTGGACACCGTTAATAATCATTTTTTGTACGTATTATTATCCTTTGGATATAATAGCCTTCGTTTGGTTGCCTTGTGCCAGGGTAATTAATGTCAATTCACAACGTTGATTCAAACATATGTTTCACATGTACATTTACATATTATCTCATCAGTGAGCTTCGGCAATCCTGATCCACACCAACATCAAACACAGACAGCATTGTGTTCATCGCTATATGTTTGTTATGTCATGAACAATCATCTACATAAACAACGAAACAGAAGGAAAGAGTGAATTACTTTGATTTCATTAGGGTGTACCCGGCCAACCGGGACCACCTGGACCCCCCGGACCAGCCATCCCCTTAGATCGCTTCAACGTAAGTACACAAGATCCACAACCTTGTACTGGGAAACCTTTTTAGCACCAGCACGATGTCTCCCATGTACCCCTCGGTGTCTGACCGCTCAACCCGAGCATGATATATCCCGTCATTATCTGGGGCTTTTGTACCGTCGCCTTCTTGTCTGGTGAAACTACTGTATCAGTTGCTAATTGCATAGTTTAGTATGAAGCTTTAAAAAAAAAAAATCTTTTGAGGTGAATTTTTCCGTTGAACTTTCTTTTTTTTGGTTTATAGCGCTATGATGACGCTTCACGGAATTACCCAGGTACGAGTCCTCTCACATCGCACCGATACATAATACTGTAAGATAGCGAGGGATCAGTAAAGGAAGAGATTTAAAAAGAGCTCCAAGTGTCTGCAGAGATAAACACTATCTTAATTTTAGTTTAATGAAGCTGCCTCAGCCCGAAGGGGATATTCCCTCTATTGTCAAGAGATTAGACTGTCAAGTGTGGCCGTATTTGAAGGATGAACTGACACAGACGACGTCACTATTGATGGCACAGCTCTGCACACCAGATGCACCTTTGGAAAATGATGGTCTCACCAATGTTAAAAATGGTATTTTGTTGTAGCCACTAAGGGGGAAAAAGGAGAGAGTGGGGACCAAGGACCTCCAGGAATCCCAGGTAAGTTAACATGTACATACTTTACCCGTATGCATTAATCCACTGCACTGCAGGAGAGTGTAGAAGGGAATTATTAGTATTTAGTTACTAATACACTTTTTTCTTTTCAGGGACCGCCTCTAATTTTGATATTTACACATTGAAGGTAAAGTAGCTCATCGCCACCCGCCAACGTGTATTTCTTAGTATGCTGGATGTAGTCTACTTCATAATGTTAAACTGTTTCCAACAGAACCAACTGAAGGGGGAGCGTGGAGACCTGGGTGTGAAGGGAGAAAAGGGAGAACCTGGTGGCGGCGGATATTACGACCCACGTTTTGGAGGAGCACAAGGCCCACCGGGGCCTCCTGGCAAACCAGGCCTGCAGGTGAGTTCAGAAAGTAGCCCTGGTTTACTTACAGGTGACGCGATTTGTCAAAAGGTTTTGGGTCAGAAGGTTTTAACTGTACACTAAGCACTCCGTCCTAGATGGAGAACTCTTCACAAGGCATCGCTGTCATTTAGATTTTTTCTTTCTCATCTCGTCAGGGTCCAAAGGGAGAATCTGTAGTGGGCCCTCCTGGTCCTCAGGGGCCACCAGGGCAACCAGGGACTGGTTACGATGGGCGCCCAGGTCCTCCAGGACCACCTGGACCTCCTGGACCCCAAGGTTCTTCCTCACTTCCCGGAGCATATCGGCCCAATTACTGTGAGTCACTTTTTCACTGTTTCAATATTCTGGATTATTCTAAACACTGCTATCTAGTGTGGAGGGGACCTTCAAAAGCTCTCTGCGCTCAGCTTGTCGGCCACGGGAGACACTTGAGCCGCCATAAGCCAAATCATTGACATGCTTTTGTTTACATTTGAAGCCCTCAGTGTTCCTGGACCTCCGGGTCCTCCTGGTCCGCCTGGAAGTCCCGCTCGCTCTTCTGGGGTAAGTACAATATCATCCAGCTCGTTATGTACTTGTTAAGGTTGGCATTGTTTATTTTAGATTAGATTCAACTTTATTGTCATTGCACAGAGTACAAGTACTGAGGCAACGACATGCAGTTTAGCATCCAACCAGAAGTGCAAAATAGCAATAGAGTATGTGCATATGTAAAGTGTAAAAAGTGAATAAATAGATATGTACAGTAAGAAATGGATATACAATATGAACAGTAAGAGGTATTGTAGGTATAAGTACGATTAATACAGTAATAAGTGATAGAAAAAAAACATTCTGGTGCAAATGCTCAGTGGCTGGAGGAGGGTGTGGCAGTCAAGCCATGGTGGAGGGGGGGAAGTACAGTCACTGAGGGAGATGTGTGTGTGTGTGGGGGGGGGCAGAGTTCAGTAGAGTGACAGCCGCAGGGATGAAGCTGTTCCTGAACCTGCTGGTCCGGGAACGGAGCACCCTGTTTGAATTTGAGCAATTTGTCAATTTCTTAGTTATTTCTTGTTCAACCAAAGCTAAACGCCATGTTTATTTGTTTTCCACAGGTCACTACCTCAAGGTCGTACGACACAATGATAGCTACTGCGAGACGTGAGCCAGAGGGCAGCCTCATCTACATCCTTGACAAAGCGGACCTCTATTTGAGAGTGCGCGATGGAGTGCGGCAAGTCATGGTACAGTATCTTCGCACCGAAGACACGCAGTGCTTTCAGGGGCATAGAAACCGTAGAGCAGGGGTGTCAAGCATCCGGCCCGCCGAGGGGTCCAGCGCGGCCCGCCGGATGCTAAGTGTGAAAATGACATGAATTGCATTTCTATAAAAATAGCTGCTATTCCTAATTAGTCCACTGGGGGTCGCTCTGCGTGACATGCGATCGACCAGGGTGATCGACGACAGTGTTCAGCGACTCTCGACCCGCCATCACCGCCTAGGATTTTATTGGTCCGGCCCGCGTGGCCCCCTACCTAAAATGAGTTTGACACCCCTGCTGTAGAGTTGCAATGCCATCATACTACGACGCTGCTGTTGGGGCAAACAAAACCACAGAAGGTCCAAACTGAGTTCAACTACAGTATTTGAAAAGTTTCTTTACGGTATTTGTTTGAATAACAAAAGCAGTTTGATATTGAGTTAATTACAGAGGCAATATACCCTGCCTAAATTATCTAATTTAGTCCCCCCCTCCTTCCTCTTCCAGCTCGGTAACTACAATCCCTTCTCCAGAGATCTGGTACGTACCACAGAAGGAAATACAATACAAATGTGGTCCTACCTGTTTTGCACTTTTGATTAAATGTCTCATTTGCACTGATAGGACAACGAGTTGGTGGAGGTCCAGCCCCCACCTGTGATCCTGTACCCCCAGTCACATGACCAGTCTCACAACAACGGAGCTGGCCATTACTCCCAGGGAGGTTCTGCCGTACGACCCATTGAGCCTCCTCCGCAGCCCCCGGTGGACAGATACCCCCCACAGTATGATCCCAGATTCCCAGACACGAGACTCACAGGCCAGACGGACGGGAGATCAGACACGCAACGGACTGAGAACAGACACCCTGTGACTCCGCCACGGCGACCCAGCCTGCCTGTGCAGCAGCCGGCCGGCCCCGTGGGGCCTTCAGCACCAGGAGTGAGTAGAGCTCAGTTCGTTTGTGAAGGAATCATCTTGCTGCGCACTTAATGGTAGTGATAATTATTGAAACGCGGTGCGGGGGTGTATATCTGTGTGGGGATTGTATTCCCTGTGTTGCCACCCAGAGAAAGGACAGCGAAGCCACGTGTCCGTTCCTTCCTTTGTTGTCATTATTGACCTTTGCATGAGAAGCACCTGCTTTGCTTTCCCCCCCCGTCACATCCAGCTAGGGTTCTGTTGTCCTATTTCCACATTAAATGCATTTTCCATCTGCAATAAGAAGAGTCTCGGCTGATGCAGTGGACCAGTCTTTTGTCAATGGGATGAACTGAGGAATGAATATACGTATAAAGTATTCTAAACCTATGTGTACCAAGAGCAGGTCTCACAGAGGCAATCATTGCTCACAAAGCTGCATCTTCCTCACCAGCTACACATCATCGCCCTGAACGCCCCTCAAACTGGTAACATGCGAGGAATCCGCGGGGCAGACTTCCTGTGCTTCCAGCAGGCCCGCGCTGTGGGCCTGAAGGGGACCTTCAGAGCTTTCCTCTCCTCCAAGCTCCAAGACCTCTACACCATCGTCCGCAGGTCGGACAGGGACAGCACCCCCATCGTCAACCTCAAGGTGAGCTACTGCGGATGGGGAAGTGGCGACATTGTTAAAGGGTTTCTGTTTATACTACATTGTGCGTCTCGATGTGCTCACATATTCCCCCAATTTAAGACAATTGTCACTTCCCAAGTCCAACTGGAGCTGTGGAAGCTTTTTGTTTTTAAAGGTTGTGTATCTTTAAGATGAAGAATAATGATACAAATTTAGAAGAGGAGAAAGTAATATCTATTAATGATATAATTTGCAGGACCAAGTGCTGTTCAGCAGTTGGGAGTCTCTCTTTGGTGACGACGTGAGCAAAATGAGGGAGAATGTACCGATCTACTCCTTCGATGGAAGAGACGTCGTCAGAGACAGCGCATGGTGAGTCTTCCGTTCAATACAGCATCTGTAGAAGAGAAGCGTTTATTCCCTTTCCTGCTACAAGATATATAAGATATATAATATTCTAAAACATGTGCTTGTTTTCCTCCAGGCCAGAAAAGATGGTCTGGCATGGATCGAGCAACAAAGGCCACCGGCAAACAGACCACTACTGTGAAACATGGCGGGCGGGCGACCACGCTGTAACGGGCCTGGCGTCCTCTCTACAGAGCGGCCGCCTCCTGCAGCAAACCTCCAGCAGCTGCTCCGGCTCCTACGTCGTCCTGTGCATCGAGAACGCCTTCACTTCTCACTCCAAGAAATAAATCCCGCCCGTCCTCCCGTATTTCTTTTGTTTAGTTTTTTTTTTTTGTTCTGGGCCCTGGTTGAACAGCGTTTTGATTTCCCGAGAACACGCCTGGTGACCGTGTGGCGTCCAATGAACTGGCCCCGTGGCTCTGTGCCTGGCAGAGAGCCTTTGTGTTGTCTGCTCCTCCGGAGACGCCAAAGAGATGGGTTGAACCGAGGGGCGTTGGTCCTTTCTCTCGGGGGCATTGGCACATATTTGGTGCAGAGCGATAGCGGAGAAGCTAAATGTGTTCTCTAATTGTATCCTATTTCTTCTTTTGTTTTTCTGTATATTATGTTTGTTGTTTGTGATTTTTTTTGGATGTTTTACCTTTTGAACTGTTTATAAAATTGCTATATCCATCCGTTTTTTTTATTATTTTTGTATCAAGTATTGATCATCTCCACCTTTTTTCCATTTTCATTTTAAAATCTTGGATAATGACAGGGAACAGCAAACGTTTCATAACTATTTCAAAGAAGATAATAGATATTTATTTTTAAATGAATGTATGTAAGGTAAAAATGATTTGGGAAAAAAATGTTTAATACCCTCATATTCTAAACAACTTAGAACATTTCATTATTTTCAAAAGAGCTTCTGATCAGTAACTGTGCCTTTTTACTGCTTTGTGAGCTCGATAAGCTCATGTATTGAACCACTCCTGTGCAAAGCGTGATTCAACAAATATTGAAATGTTATAGAAGCTTTAGCTCAAGTGGATTCAGATGCATTTACTTTTACTAAATTTAAATGACCTTATCGGACTTGGCCACTTCTGTAATAAATAACCCCTCATCCACAGGGCAATATTCATTCTAGCTAAAATGGAGCCTCGTGAATCCAAAGTGATTATTTCTTTCCTTCTGGCACTTCATGAAAACCTATCAGTGAGTAAGCTGGAAATGATTAGTTGGCTGCTAATCTTTGTCGGAGGGATGGCTGTCCCGGGCGTTAGGGCCGTGTGCTGAGGAGAGAGAAGCTCCTGCCTGGTATGAATTTCAGAGACTAACGTGGCCTCAACGCTTGAATATCCTGACTGAACCCGTGGATGTCCATTTTTATTACTATTTGTGCTGTACTGTTTCTCCCAGGCACTGAATAAAAGTCTTTTTCAACTACAGCAAACGTTTGACGTGCTGTCCATGAAGCTGGACAGCGTGTTGAATTACTTCTCCTGAGGAGCTCTGGTGACACTGTGGACGTGACAGGTTGGCCTCAGCGGGCCTGACAGGTGGCATTGACTCCAGCACAAATCAAACTGAGTGGTACTCAGAGAGAGGAGCTGCATACACCATCACTTTATATGGAATTGCTACTGTCGTTCAATTTAACCGTGATCAAGTACAGAAATGATGCAACGGTGACAATAATGATAACTGCCAATGTTGTAGGTTGGTCAAAAACAAAATAAACTACTGCCAGAAACCGTTAACGCCATCAATAGGAATAGAAGTTAAGTAAACATTTATGTTACATTGTGAAGTAATTACAGCAAAACATGATTGACTTACAAAACAAATGAAGTTAGCAGGAAATCGGGAAGATGTTTTCTGTGGGTCTCCAAGTAAGTGGATTTCAAAGGACTGAAGTGGGTCATCAGTCATTGGCGGATATCTCATGAAATCCTCTTAAATCTCTTTAAAGTTAGGAGGCGTCTCAAGATTATATTTGATTAATAAGATTAATTTGAATTATTCAGAGTTGGCCCAATTTAGAAGTTACTTTTGAACAATATGCCCAACAGAAGAGGTAGTCTCGTTTTCAGGTGGTTTTAGGGGACATCATTTATCCCTTTGTGTAACTAAAGATAATAAAGGAGACCCAAGTGTCGTGAAAATTAACTTTAGAGTAACAGCCTGGAGTAGAGCGAGTAATGAAAAATATGTAATAGACAAAATTGATACTACAGTAGCATAAAATGCGAGACAATACTATACAGTTTTTATTACTTTTTAATGACATACTAAAGTATATCATAGAAGTCTCATATGTAATAATGTCAAAGTCGATTTATTAACGGTATCGCCCTCATGTAGCACCTAACTTTCTTTGCACCGGTAGATAAAAGTCTGTGTATCCTCTTCATAGAGCTTGAGTTCCATCTATTGATATTATCATTGACTATTTGTCACATCGTATAATCATTCAGTACAATCACAGAAAATGTTCTTCTCCTGTTATTTATCATGAAGAGGCTCGTTTTCAGTCAGTCAATATTCTACAGTTTCATGCACAGGTTCTCAACAAGCCTGCAGTACAAAACAAAGCATTTTTAAAAGTTTCACATTTCTATAAACTCATGTTGAGTTTGCTATTAAGTCGGTGTAAGACGGGGGCCTAAAGGCACCATCTTTAGTGGCAGGTCATTTGCGAATCAGGCGCAGCCAAATTTAACCACGCGCCCGCCCGTGATGAAAAGCGAGCATTCCTTATAAATAAACAGTAGATACAGTCTCTTCCCACTCAGTTTCATCAAATCTGCCTCTTAAGCATCTCTGACCGGCCTTACAGGCGCCGTAGGGCTTAAATTAATTGACTGTGGGGGAGGGGCCGCACTCCCCAGTCAGAGAAATAGACCGGCATCATAACTCCCGTCTCAATGTCCTTGGTTGAGTAAATCTTCAGGGGAAGAAAAAAAAAAAAAAATCCAACTGACTGAGTGGCGTATTATCCATTTAAGTCTTCCTGACGGAGTGGGGCGAGAGTGGGCGGGGGTCGGTCGGGATGTAATAACCCGCAGCTGGCTGCCTGCCTGAGGAAAGCTATATTTAGTGGGTGCCAAGTAATAACTAAGTACAGGCAAATGATCCGGCTACGGTAATGACACAACAGGGTGACAGCCAGAGTTTGGGGGACTTAATTACGCTCGGGGCGGAAGTGAAAAGCCACAGTTGTCAGATCTCTGGTGTGTGTTTGTTCAATGCGGGTGACTCTCTGTCACAGTAACCCCGGAGCTAACAATATCTCAACGCCGCATTCAACGAGATTGCAGAGCCACTTTGTTCGGCGAGCTCGCGAGGTGTTTTATCTCGAGTGAGTGAAGAAGATACATTTAATGTATTATCAACATTAGACTGGAATATAAGTATAGCAAAAGACTATATCGCTTAAATGGCTTCTCCTCATAATGCATTCTGCCTCCAACTAGACCCACGTGTTCCCCATCAAATCAAAGGGTAACAAGGGGGCCTAGAGCAACATTTGTGTAGTGTCTGAAGCACTTGCGTCGCACCGCGAGGCTTTCACATTTCACTGACATTTAGACAGATAATGAGTAACAATCTGGCGGTCTTTAAATCCCCCCGTGAATCATATGGCATTTGAGTCTATTTCTTCCCTCCTGTCTTTAAATAATTAATGAGGAGGATGCTATCGGAGAGGATATTCCCGACATCGGCTTTGACCACTTCACCATACGGGCCCCCTGCTTTACTCAGCCTCACATCCGAGAGGCATAATTCAGTCCCTGTAAAGTCACTGGATTTTCTATCATCGATTGCTTTTCCCAAAAAACGTCGTCTTGCCAAAATTCTGAACCAACAAGGAGCCAACAACAGGTTTTTCATCAACAAAGACGCTTTACCAATATCCTACAAATAACCACAGATGAATGTTTGAATGTAGCATGCTTTTATTTGTCTGCATGGCGTCTTGATGAGACCTGCGTGAGGGTGGGAGTCGGGACCCCCCCCCCGGTGTCTGCGCCGAAGCACAGTGGCAGTTCACAGCCTCCTCACAGGCCTGACACAGCTCACTGCCCGTGGTCATCAGTGCAGCTGGTTACATATTCGATGTGACATCTCCTTCCATCTAATGAATTTTTGATGTCTCTTCCTTTCCCACTCACACGCAGACGGGTCTCTTATCAGCCCTCTTCTGTAAAGGCACGCCACCATGAATGGCAGCGTCGCCTTTGGAATACAGGGGACACGCTTCTCACAGATTCCACCTGTGCACAGACGTTTGGATGTAGAGTGTTGGCCAGTTGGCGTGATAGTTTACGACCGTTGCATTGTCGAGATCCATTGCCGAGAACTTGTGCGAGCAGAAAAAAGGGAAATCCTGTCAAAACATTATAAATATCCATGATATAGTTTTTTATTATGAGCAATCATGGATGTATGTTTAATATCAGACGGCATTATACAAGAGGTCCATCTCTTCTCGTGCATCCCCCGTCTGGTTATGTTGATTTCACAGAACAAGAAACTCTCTTCCTACTCTTTACTCGGCTAAACGGACAGTTTGATGCCACACTTGTGCTGTGAATATCCAACGTGATCTCCAAAACCTGTTCGTAAAAATGTATACGAAATATTTGACATAGAAATTCGTAACAATACATGCTAACTGGCGGTGGTTAACCACGGCCCTTGCGTGAACGTCTCTCCGCCATGTTGGATTTTTTGAGGGGGTTAAGGTTAGTATTCTATTCTTACAATTTAACATTGATTTCTCGTTAAAATTTTTATTTTTGTTTATTTTACATCGTTAGACTTCACACAGTGTGTTTACGGGGTGCAGGTCCCCGTTCACTTTGAATAGGGTGACGTCATCGGTTGCAGTCCGTATTTATTTAGTATGTATCACTACGAATTTGTATGTTCAAGATTTTCGTATACATTTTTACGAACAGGTTTTGGAGATCAGGCTGGAATATCTGACCATGTTATAATGCACTCAAGTATCGACAGCCTCATTGATTATCGGGGCCCCTTACAAAGATCTTTCAAAGGGGAGTAATGTGATGATCTGCAGACCCTACTCATGCAACCAGCAGAAATAACACCTCATTTCTCTTGACCTCCTTATATTTGAGTATTTCTTCACACAGCTGATTATTTACGATATACGGTATAAAGATGGTTTGAATAAAAACAAAAGGAGCTGCAGGCAACAACTATCTAAATCAAAAGTGGAATTCGTAACTATTTAAAGGAGTTGGAATTGATTTGTGTCGATGTAGGTGAAAGATGCAACAGCACAAAGTTAAAAACACACATGTCTCATTTCCTTGGCGTGGGTTGTCTCAACTGCACTCACTGATACGCAGCCGTAAAAATACTGTGAATATTGGGAAACTATCAATATGTTTGCTAAAGGGTGTAAACATGTACAGGTTATTACGGACAAAATATGTTTTCTGTACATCAAAACATGTAAACATGTTTGAGTAGAATCCCAAAATCAAGTATAAACTGTACATGCTGGGGGTGTTTTATGTTATATTATAAACTGCTGCATGTGGAAGGAAATATTACTGGAAATGAATTTTCATCAGACATTTAAACAGCTCAGTAGGATATTATCTTGTCTCAAAAAGGCAATAACATATTTGTTTTCATGAAAACACAAAAAAAAACACATCTCTTTCTGCTTCAAGAGAACTGTGATCAGTGACTTTAATAATTTGAAACCACACGATGAGAACAAAGAATAAATGGCGGCCTAATAGATAATGTCCAAAATAAGCAGTTCTTATGAAGAAAATAAGTTAATCAAATGACTTATTACCAAAGCGCCTCACATACAGCAAATGAGCAAACAGGGATTATGACGTTCCATTGTGCCCATTGTTGCTTCTCCCTTCATTCATATTATGTGTAAAGTTGTTATTTCCAAAATGCGGTCTGGCCCACAGGTTTGAGCGGGACAATGTTGGTCTCTGTGTCGTAGACGGACGACATGTTCCTCGGCCTCTTGTCCCAAAGGGCCGAACATCAAGGAGGAGCCCTTCATGCTGTACATGAAACCTGCAACCCTTCCAGCTCCAAAAGGCGCCGCGTCCCCCACAAAGACCACCTGCAGCCGACTAAACGACGGACAAAGTACTGACTTGTTTTGCTTGATGTTACCGTGTAACCGCCGGTTCCTTCACAGGTGCTGTGGCTTTCATCCCTCAGCTCAACAGTTCACCGTTGATCAATTGTCAAGCTGCTGGGTGCGTTCCAGATGCATCGACTGCGAAGGAGAGGGGAATGAAATAAGACTCGTGCGAGTGAAGTATGCTCCTCGGTGAACATACGGCCCACGAGGAAATCTCACACTTCTCCCTCTGCTCAGTGGCGCTGGTGGGAGCCGTCGCAGAACGCTGAGTGTAAATGTTCTGTACGTGGCAGAAGGGAATTGATTGTGTGTGTGTGTGTGTGTGTGTGTGTGAGAGAGAGCCTGTGAATGTGAACACATGACTGCGTGTCATGTGTGTGTTCCTGCCTTTGTTCATGTGAGGCTTGTTTGACCGTACAGCAACTCTAAAAACTCTTTCCTCTTCTTTCTGCAGGAGACCACGCGGTGATGTTGGCTCAGATTAAGTGGCCCAGAATGTAATCGCTCTCGTGTCTGTGCAGCCCTGAATCTCCCTCCCTGGCTGGACCGCGACGCTCGCTCTGTCCTTCCAAAAAAAAAAAAAAAAGGGAGGGAAGCTTTCCATGATTCCTTCCCTTTTGCAATTATTTCAACTGGATGTGAGCTCTTGCACTTATTGGCTGGGGGCAAAGGCACCGGCTGCCTCCCCTTTCATTGGCTACCTGGACACCTCTGTGCCGTCTCCCCCATTGGCTGCCTGGAGGAAAAGGGGAGGAGAGCTCACCCCCCCTGTGGCAGAGCGTGTAAATGTAAAGACTCCTTCTCTTCCTATTATCTGAGTGGCTGTGGGTTTGGTGTCTGCCTCCCAGCGTGTGCATGTGTGCGTGTGTGTGTGTGTGTGTGTGTGTGTGTGTGTATCGGAGGGAGAAAAGAGATAAAGAGAGAGAGAGTAAGGGAGGGAGAGGCAAGCAGCGTTTTCTTCTCTCCCCTTTAGCCTCCCCGTCTCCCTGCTCCCTGTCATTCCCTCCTTACTCCCATCGGCGAGACCACCTTAACAGCCCTGACTTTCAGCGAGGCGGAGTACCTTCCCTCGCACAACCTCTCCAACTCCCCGCCACCCAGACCACCCCGGGACCCTTTGACTCTCCTCGTTTCTCCGTCCCTCCAACCAAAAACCTCTCAGCAGGTAAGACTCCGCTTCTTCCAGCTGGTGCTGCTTCAAAAAGTACTTCCCGGCTGTCCGTCTGCTCTTGTTTTTGTCTCCTGTTTCCTTTGAAGTGGTCTGTGTCTGTTCCCTCTGGCCTCGCCTCCTTCCCCGCATGCATCTGTCAAGTTTCCCCCCCGTGGCGCTTCTGTCCCCCTCAGAAAAGTGACACAGTTTGCATGAGATACAATGAGTGAGGTCAGTGTATTTTTCTTCATCCTCTGATGTCAACACCCCCCCCCTCTGTCTCTCTCTCTCTCTCTCTACCACACAATCTCTTCATCTTCTCTCCCTCTTGTCTTTTGTAATCTCATTCGCTCCGGCGTTGAGCGTGTGCAAATTCTTTGTGGTAAAGTGAGTCAAGCATTTTAATTCTGCCCAGAGCGAGAGGACATCGTGACGCGTTTCTGGTTACGGGAAATTCATCCCTAATTCATTTTTTGAAAAGTGTTTATGTTAGTTGGTGATGGCTATTTATAGGTGCTGACGCGTCAGGCACACGTGTTTCCGCTTCCACGACGCCCGGGGACAGAACACAGGACTGTCCACTGGCTCCAGAAAGCATGACATTGCACAAAGTGTAATGACTTTATGAGGCATTGACTTGCCCGATTGAATCAAGCAATCCTTCCAGCAGGACGAGTCCGGTATTAACGTGGCCCATAAAGCCGTCCTGGCAACAGCCAGCGAGGAACACATCCGTACAGCAGAGGAGACACAAAAAACTGCTTCGTTCTCCATCCGCACATCCTGTACTTTACCAGGAAGGGAAAGCGGTGTGTGTGTGTGTGTGTGTGTGTGTGTGTGTGTGAGGGAGACGGAGATACTGCTAAATTGCTTGAGACATCAATACTGTCAGCCTGCAGCTTTTAAAGGCACTCTATCATATCTGGAAATTGGACCTTACAACAATGTCAACAACTGAGGAAATGCTTCCCATTGCGCAATGTTTTTTTTTTCTTTTAGATGGATAGATTGATACTTTATTGATCCCTGATTGATTTTGATGGCTTCTCTGAGGAGTCGTGTGTTCACGTGTTTAAATATGAGTGGCTAAAGATGGATATAAAAGGTTTTCATTCCCATGATTAGTTCATTTTGATATCTAAATTTCTACATTTAAACATAAAATTTCCAATACGGTCTTCGAGTCTTCACATAATTCAATATAAAAATATAACATTATTATAATCCATTAACTTACAGAAGGGACTTTGATCTGTGACAAAGCATCTTGGGAACGCGAGTTGTCGCTTTTATTAAGATGATTTTGACGACTGAACAAAAAGAACAGGCATCTACGACAGCTTCAATCTAACTATAACTTATATTTAAAATGTGTATCGTGTTTCTGACCATTGAAACTGCTTTGAAGAGCGCATTGATGATGTTGTTAGCGACGGTCACGTCTAAATTCACGCATTTAGATTGTTGGTGTATTAGTACGTGTCAATCGGGTGTCTGTCTTTGTGAGCAAACATGCAGCTGTTTGTCACAACTGTCAGCTGGCGGTGAGCTAGAAGCAAATTATTCACTATGACTCTCACTTCATCACAAACAGCATGTTGATAGGAGGCCTCTAAACCTAAAACAGAGTTTTGGCTGGATGTAATATTATATTGCTTATTGACCAAAAACAAAATTTCAGTTGAAAAATGTGCGTCTGCAATGAGAGCAAACATGGCAGATTGAATTCACCTGCAAGATTTTGTTTGTATTTTGTGAATTATGTATTTTTATGGACAAAAAGATGATTTTCGGACCTACTTGGGATTTGCTTTTTGGTTATAGCAAAAATCTCTTTCTTACTCATACTTCAAAAGCTTGGAAGCATTCATGTCAGTGACATCTTAATGTCTGACTCATATTAATTTAAGAGATATTGCGGCCAATTTAACATGTGTGTTTTGTTTAAGCCGCTCTGCAGCCTTGTTTAATGCACTTTCTGCGCGTCACCTCCTTCGGTGAAAGCGCTCATAAGAATGCAAACATGAAACTCGTTGTAGAATGACATATTTATTGGCCTCGCTGGTGTGTTTTGCACATTCCTCCCTAAGCCACAGCTTTAAGCTTAAATCCGGCGGCATGCGGATGACAATGAGTGTGCATCGCCGTGTCGGACCAGTTTTACACTCGCGCATCACATAATGACACAGATGTCAGTCAGGGGCACTCGGTGTCGTGAAGGTTTGGAAATAGAGCCGGGCGAAGCCAGCAGAGTGACAGCATATGAAATGTGAGCGGACGGGCTTTTGTTTTTCAAATAATGTCACTGAGAAACAATGAGGACGGGGCAGAAGAGGCCATATGGCACCCTGGCTTGTAGCCATTCAAGTGAATCCTCACCAATCATACATTACACCACATATGCTTTATGAACGTCTTGACGTTGGATGTGTTCCTCTTTCCACTGCTGATTCGGAACCAGCGAGCGGTAAAGCGACCGATCACATGATCACATGTATCCAGCATATTCCTTCTGTGGCAGGCCGATGCTCTGCAAGCAGCTGGCCCTTTGTGCCTCGGCCCAGTCGAGCCGTTCCGGATCTCCCGCTGGCCTGGCACGGGCCGCAGAGTGCCGGGAGTTGCCTGGCTCAGTGTGAAAAAGCCCACTGACATTGACAAGCCAGCGCCTTGGTGGCTCCCACGGAATGATGGAGGGCAAATGGTCGCACGCGAAAGGCCTGCAGAGGAGGGAAGTGTGTTTGGTCTGTCAGGGATGATTGACTGGTTCCTTTTTCCGAAAACTAACCTTAAACGGGGTCACTACTGCTTACGATATAAACGCATGCAGAATACATCATTTTTATTCGGTTACACCAAAGTATGAATTCATATTTTGTGGACTTGTATTTGTGATACACCAATCTCGGTTATTTAACCTTAAGTGTTAACACACAGTAGGAGATTGTGTTGCTGCAACACAAATGAAGTGTCATTACAGCCACATTGTGTTCATAAATGATCTTGATCAACTTGAAAACCAACATGTTTTAAATAAGAATGTATGGAACTCCTGTTATTTTGGTAAACAAAGAACATCACACACAATATTGGATGAGTTATATCTAAACTGAATTACAGAAATCTGATCTATATGCAGGTTTTATTTTGGATAGTATAACTGATGAAAATTACACTTCAACAAGAACATGCTTTTGTTTTCTTTGGGCTTTTAATGAATGACTTCATAGAAAGAAAGAGTTATTTGTTCATAGGTTAAATTCTGTTTATTAATATCTCATATCAGGCACTGAACTTATTCTTTTTTCAGTTTTTTTTTATTTAATTTAATTTTGTAAATGTGATACAGATGATGTCAAATAACTGTTGATATCTGGAGACACATTGCTTAGCATCTATGTGTGTGTCTGTGGGTGTGTGTGTGTACACTAATGCACAGAAATCTGTCAGTCACAAAACACAGGCTCAGCTGATCACACAAACAACCCACTGGATGCTCCTGCTGCCGCTGACTTGTTTTTACCTCTCGCTCATTTTGTTGGTTAGTAGTCTTCTGTCACTGAACTGGGCTGTAAACTTGAAAAACAATCCATCCTGTGTCATAATTCATGACCGAATGCGAGGGGTCGGGGCGGTGATGCAGTGCCAGAGGCTGAGATTAAACACGGCACCCTTTAGCGCCATTGGAGAGAATTATGACCTTTGAAATCTGAGCCTCTTTTTTTGTCTATTTCCAAAGGTGTAATTTAAGCTGGTGAAGGGCTGCGAGATCAATCAGAGAGGATGCGGCGTCGGGAGAAATGAAAGCGGCTGCGGGTTAAGAAGGGAAAGGTGGAGCAGGAACAGGGCTTCTGCCTTCCCCGCTGCTCTCTCTGGGTGGTGAAGTACGACCACAAATAGGCGGTCCTCTGCCCCTTGTGTTGGTGCTATTTTTATACTCGCTAATGCAGGGGGTTTGGAGAACCAGCTCAAGTGGTGAAGTGACAAGAACATATTATTGTTGGCTTGGAGTTGAGAGAGCTGCAGTGATCAAAGGATTAAGCATGCCCATGGAGGCTGTGACAGAATTACCCTTGCGTTGTTAATTCTTTATTACATCAGGGCTCTGATGGGCTCACTTTTTCCTCAGCGTGGATACGACATTTGTTGAAGTATTTGTACATTGGATCAATTTCTGGGTATGGATTGTGTTTTGGTTCAAGATATTATAGTTAGTTTAGAGGTCCAACCTTCATCCACAGGTTCACGTTTTTGCCTACTTTGTTTCTCCACAGTCGACCTTTTTCAGAATTTTCTGTTCTTGGTATAAAAAACAAGAAAGGTGGGACGGTTTCAGAGGAATTCGGTCAAAACAGCGTGTTTTAGCGGGGCTTATGAAATCCAAGTGAAATGAACGAGAGAAGGATGAAATGAATGGCATGCCGCAATAATTTGGCAGTAGTTTGACATTTGATGAGCACAATGAAAAGAAGGGCAGATATGGAATATCATCCTTTGACTTTGGATGATGCGAGTTAACTATCCATTCATTTAAATGAGTCGGATTCTGAGTGGTTTGCAAAAAAAGAACATTTGTACCTTGTACTAGACTATCAAATATGTTGAAAATACAGGGATGACATGGTATTAGTGGGCACCCCAAATTCTGCAGATGAATAATATGCATATACATACATACCTATGTACAGTACTGGGATCATACCAAATCACATCTAATCAATCAGTACATAGTAGAGAGAGAAGATCAACAGTAAGAAACGGGGTGACAGTTGTTGGGATCTCTGATCCCCCCGAGTTGGTAGATGAGAAGAATCGCAGCACGTTAATCAATTAAAGTCAAAAAGGTAACATTTATAAAGAAGAGAAAAAGATTACATGAGCAATTCTCCGCAGATATATTTGGCTCTAATTATGGCTTGCAAGCAGGAGGTCAAATACACCGACACGTATTACAGAGTTTTCATACACATAGGAAGGCCATCCTCAGTGCAGGTACGAGAAGCTGCAAACACAAGTTG